GGGAGAGGAAGAGGGAGAAGGAGAGGGAGGAGAGAGAGAGGAGAAAGAGGGAGAAGGAGAGGAGGGAGAGGGAGAAGGAGAGGAGGGAGAGGGAGAGGCAGAGAGGGAAAGGGAAGGGGGAGAGGGAGAGGGGGGAGAGAGAAAGGGAAAGAGGGGGAGAGGGGGAGAGAGGGAGGGAGAGGAGGAGGTGGAGGGAAGAGGGGGGGCTAACTGGTAATGACCTGGCTTTTTGAATCGTCAAAACCCACCCCCAGTAACATACCTCCTCCAATAAGGACACACTTCCTGATGCTTCCTAAACAGTTCTATCAACTGTAGACCAAGCATTCAAATATATAAGCTTATGGAGGGCATGCTCATTCAAACCACCACACTCCAGGTAGACTCCCAGCTCCCCACAGTATCTTCACAGCCCATCTAAGGCTGAAGCCTGTCTTGAACTTTCTGCTCTGCTTGACACCACCTTCTTGCTGAACATTTTCTTCCTTCTTCTGCCTTCCTGTGAAAGTACAAACTCCTTGGCAGCAAGACCCATGTGATACTCACATATGCTCTACAAGACAGCAGGGCTGTCTCCCATTTCCTTAATCAAGAATGAGTGCTCAGCCACTCTCACTTGCTTCAACAAGCTATTGCCAGGAGGAACTGCATGGCCTAGGAAAGGCTTCGGCCTGCACCACTGCCTTTGTTCACAAGAATATTGTGAATAGAATTCACAGAAATATTCTCGGCCAGTTTAAATATTGGACTGACTCCTACTTTCAAAAAAGTCTTAATGCTGAGAAGAGGCCACACACATGAAATGATACCCACAAAACATTTTAATTCTTGATAGAGAAATATGAAAAATTATGAAAGATTCACCTCTCCCAGACAGAGAGAGAAATTCTATTCCTGCCTGAGCCCATATTAAAGAGGAGGGAGAGATTCACACTCATAGCAGCTTCAGACACCAAGTCAGGTAAAGGAAAAATTTCCCTTCCACATAAAACTGTTCCAAGAAGAAAATAGAAATTTCTCTCTCCTCACTAGTCCATAATTCTGCCAATTTCAGATGGCTTTTAAATAAAAGCCAGCACAAGAACCAGGTATCCCAGATTTCCATCTGGAGCTTCTGGCGGGTAGTACAAATTGCTAGCTTAGAGGAAGGATCACACTTGATAGCAGAGGATAAGGACACCATCCAAGAGAGCAGCACACACTGGGATGCTAGTCTAACTCAGCAGTGACCATGGTTACCATCACTCTCCTCCTCTTGCTTAGTTACTTTTTCACAGCAACATGGAACAAGGAGAGTCCAGTGGTTCTGAGACCCCAGCATAAAAACAAAGGTCTATAAAATTAAAAGGAAAGGAAATTTGTCCAAATCATAAATGCCACAGTGTTTGACATTTAAATATCATCTCCATAAAAGTTATTTGGTAAGCATATAGGATGATACCAGAAAAAAAATAGCAAGAAGGGCTGATTTCAAATTCCAGTAGAATGTAAGTTTATATTGTCCTGTATCTACCAATATACTCATCCACTCTAAAACTGACACCTATTTTCCTGTTTATGCCAATTTTTATTAGCATATATTGATCATATTTAATAGTTTCCTTTTCATACATATATATAATGTACTTTATTATCATGTTACACCTGCTATCCCCCCCCCACTGGTCCTCCCAAATATACAGCAGACATCCATCATTTTGTCTTTCTGTATGAGAAGTGTGTGTGGTGTGTGTGTGTATGTGTGTGTGTGTGATATGAATGTATGTGTGTGTGTGATATGAATGTATGTGTGTGTTTGTACAATTGTGCTCACCTGTGAATGCCACTGTCTTCACAATCACTCTCTACTTTTCTTACTTTTGAAACACGGTCTCTTACTAAAAACAGAGTTCTCTGTTTCAGTTAAGCTGGCTGGCTAGTGAACCTGTCTCCAACACCACGTGCTGGGATTATAGATCCGTATTTCTGTGCCCACACCTTATATGAATTCTAGGGAATCCAATTTCAGATCTTCATGCTTGCACCCCAAGCACTTTGCCCATCGACCCATCTCCCAGGCTCAAACATCCATCAGATGTTTGGTCAGAGTGCATGACAGCAGAAATGACTATATTTTAAACATTATTCTTCTTGGCATTTTGGAAAGTGTTGGCATGACAGAGATGCACAGGTGGTACTGATGTCTCTGTCCAGTCTACATGGCTCTGTAAGAACCAAACACCAGCCACTGCTTTCCATTTTCTTTCATGAAGTACAAAAAAAATTATATATCATACTAGAAAAGACACTATCAGGTGGGACGGAACAGATTAGAGAAGCGAACCTTTCAGTGAGGTCCAAAAGCTAACAGTACCACAATTCCTTTCCACTATTGCCTATTAGTAATGGGCTGATATTGTACAGGCAGACAATACTGCCACTGAGACTTTGGGTCTAACCCTAGAATATCTCCCCACATTGCCATCCATAGATCTGAAGTCTGACCCCCCCCCCAACTTCCTGGCTGGTTAGCACTGTGTACCACTGTTGTGGAAAGAATACAGATATCATAAACCTGTACCATCCAGAAACTAATTCTCTCCCAGTCAACACTCAACTACAACAGATCTTTATTGGATAAGCACATGCGAATGAGTCTGAGATTTGGTGGGGATATCCCAGTGTTCAATTATATCATCTATTACTTTCTATACCAAGAATACTGCATTGCAATGGCACAGTAAAACATTGGGACACAAGTAAAGTTCAATTTTGCCTACTGTAGAAATGCACCCCCAGAGACCACACAAAGCCAAGAGGCTAAGAGGAGTCAGATATAACTATTCAAAGAGGTTGTTTGAAATTTTCTTCAATTGTTCAATATACAAATGAACAAATACAAATATTGTATACAATATATAAAATTTCAATTATTCAATATACAAATATAAATATTGTATACAATATACAAATCTTCAAATATTTAATATACAAATATATATTCAAATATAACTTAACTAGTAAAGAATGGATAAATCAAGATTATAATATGCTTTTCCCCTAATATTTAGTCTATATATAATAATAGGCAAACTTGAATGTAGGCCCCTACCATCACGTTCCTCTGTATCACCACTTCTTTCTCTTTTTTTGTGCTAATAGAAAAGATGAGATAGCCTCCATGGAGACACTGGGAGCGCCTACTGAAGCCCCTGTGTCATCCACAGGTAAGTTTGGATCTCATTTCATCTCCTTCAAACCATCATGTACTTGCAAAGCACTCCATGACAAAAGCTGGCATAAATTATGATGCACCTTCTCATTTCTAGAACTTTAGGTTCTATCGCTGAATGTCCAGATGCATAACAAATACTGCTTGATCAGTACATTTAAGCATAAATACCTTTCAAACTGCTAATTTCTCAATGATTTCTGGGACTAGTAATATAGCACAGTGGAGAGTGCTTGCCCAGGTTGACACCCTGAGTTCAATCCCTGCACCACAGAGAAAATAATACTAAAATTCCATTTTCATGGATTTTGCCAAATATTTTCCAGAAAATTTATTTTAATTTAAATAATAAATTATTGCTCAAATTGGCAAGCACCTATCTCAGTGCACATTTGGGAATGCTGAGTATAACGTCTTACCCTTAAGGTGGTTTTTTTTAACCTTTTTGTTGCATGCGTGTGTATGTGTGCATGACATGTATGTCTGAGTGCAGGCTGGCACAAGTGGTGATCTGAGGATGACTTTGTAGCATGGGTTATCTCCTCCACCTTCACATGGTTCCAGGGATCACGCACAGGTAATCAGGCTTGTAAACCAAGTACCTTTAGTTGCTGAGTCACTCACCAGCCCTAAATATAAATTTTTAATATTTACCCAAAAAGAGATAATAATTTTATATTTATTAGGTGTTTAAAATTTATTTTTCATGTATTTCATCTATTTATGGCAGTCTTATCATGTTCCCTTATAACTTAATAATACTTTAGTGAGTACAACAGATGGCACATGCCTATAATCCCATTACTCAGGAAATTAAAATGGAAAGATCATGAGTTTGAAGCCAACCTGGGCTATATAGTGAGCTCAAGATTAGACTGAACTATATAGCAATACAGTGTGTTAAATGCAAAATGTGTCATCTGTATATCACATATACACTTTTAAAATGTATGAATATTTTGCCAAGATTATATACATGTACCATATGTGTACAGTGCTGGTAGGAGGCTAAAATTAGGTGTTCGGTCACTTGGAACTGGAATTGCAGTTGTGAACCACCATGTGGGGACAGAGAACCAAACTCAGGTCCTCTATAAGAACATCAAATGCTCTTAACCACTGAGCTGTCTTTCTTGCCCCATTTTACGTATACTTTCAAGTATATAGAACTATTAAACTTCTGGGAAATGCTTTTTTTTTAGTAATGTTAATGATATATTTAATAACGCACATTTTGGAGTTGGAAGGATGGAGGTCAGTAGAGTATTCTCTGGATATCTAAATCTCCAGGTTCAACCCCCAGCATCACTTACACTGGATATGGTACTTTGTGCCTATAGTCCTAGCACTCAGGAAAGGGAGGCAGGAGGATCACAGCTTGATATCATCTTGGGAAACATAGTAAGTTTGAAGCCATAATGAGTTTGATATATGAGATCTGTTCTCTTTTTAAGAGAGGGAAAAGATGTTCTTTTAAATCTATATGTTAAAATATAGACTTTTAGACACTGAAAATGGAGTTCACATATATATCTATTTACTTTAGAGAAATCTGCTGTTACTTCATTTTTATATTTCTTCTAAGTTAAAATAATTTACTATTTCTAAACTTACTTCTAAATAATGCAACAAGACTAGTTCAACTTCAATTACAAAAAAGTGAAAAACATCCTTTAACCAAAAGTTGACTGGTTGTTAATTCCCCTTGTAAATGGGTGAAGTTAGACTTGTGATTCTTAATATCAAGACTTATTTGTAAACATATTATTTACAAAAAGCCTTTGTTAAAAAATAATTCATGCTTCTTTTTGTATATAGTACAGTATAATCAAGCTAATACTATTAAAAGTTGCTTTTCTGTTTTTAAAAGTGGAAGATAGTGTGTTTTATCTGTCATGAATCTTTATAGCAAAAAAAAAAAGTTACTAGAATAAAGACTAAATTGAAACTATGTTAATGCCTGGGGGTGGCTCTGGGATTTGTAAAAGAATCGCAGCAGTATTCAGACTACTTTGGCAACCACATGGGCTTGGCTGCCACTCCAGTCTTCATCGTGTTCTCACTGACAGCCACTTCATTATTATAGAAAAACTGAGGACAACCAAAAGGGCAATTTTTGATAGTGGGTTCGATTGTGGGACTAGTCATTAGTTTTGGTAGCTTCTGTAGATGGTAATCTACCCTCAGATTAATGCTGGTGTTTGTAACCAGTGATTCAAGCACAATGGCTGTTTATCTATTGAGGCTACACATAGACCATCAGAGATTGGCTGACATCTCAACTCTGCTATAACTAATGCCAATTGAACACTCCAAGGACTTCAAAACTATACATTATCAATGATCAGAAAGTTCAGCCAATAGCCTAATGCCAGATCCACATGTATGTACCATTGCAGAAGTATATGAAACATAAAATTAAAATGGAAAAACAAAGACAATACAACGTCTCTAAAAATTACCAAATCCACAGAAATGTATTCTAATAAGAGTAAGTGAAATGAAACCCAAATAAAGAATTTTAAAAAACAGTTATTAGAACAAAGAGTTCACTAAAGAAATAAAAAGACTAAAAACAATTAAATTGGACTTCCAGTCTGGGCTCGAGCACAGAGCAGATCCCACTCGGGAGCTCTGCACCTAACCTCACAAAACCCATAGGAAGAGGGCCTCCCAGGAGCTCTAACCTGGGAAGTATCTCAGGTAAAAATGAATCACCAGGATGTCTGCTGTTAGAAGTTCTAATCCAGATGCTGGCCTCCGAACTTATACTACTCAGACCTTCGACAGGCCATTGACAAGAACATCAAAAAGCTAGAGATTGGCATCACTAATCTGAAGAAATCCCTCATTACGCTGTCTGAAGAGACCTCCAAAAATTGCAAAGGACTTTATTGGACTTGATTTACTCATTTACAATAGAAAAGACTGTGTACAGCTCTTGACTGTGCACAGCCCTTAAAGAAGAATGTTGCCTTTACATAGACAAGACAGAGATGGTTAAAGAGAGCATGAAAAAGGTCAGAGAAGGCCCTGAGAAAAGACAGAGAGAGAAAGAGAAAGATGAGAGCTGGTACAAGAATTGGTTTTCAACCTCTCCATGGTTGTCAACCCTACTTCTACCTGTGTTGGGACCATTAATTGGGTTATTTTTGCTTATTTCTTTTGGTCCCTGGGCCTTAAATAGGCTGACTAACTTGGTGATAAAACAGATAAATAATTTGGTAGCAAAACCTATTCAGATACATTATCATAAGTTAGCTATGGAGGACCACGAGACTCAAGATAAGGTTGTTACTCTATCCAGGGTGTTCCCAAAAACCCATCTCCACCCAACCTAAGAGAAGGGACTTCCGCCCCTAGACCAAGCAGAGAGAGGACACAAAGAACCCCCCCCCCCGGCCTGGCAATCTGAATTCTTGCTTAGGCTGCGAGCCTAAGCACTTCAAGGGAATATAAAGAAAAGTTAAAAATATCTCTCTAGGTTCCCTGAGGGACAAGCCTGACTGCATAGGAGTTGATGCATCCTGTCTCCAGAAAAAAGACATCGGGATGGGTATGGCTCTCATGCCTCACTGGACAACAACAGGGGGACTCGAGCCATTACAAAGTCCCCTTCAATTACTGGAAGTCAGGCCTCTATCCCTGCCTTCCCAAGATTAGAATCGCCACAGCCCTTCTATACTTAGAGAAGGGAGGAGATGTTAGGGACGGCCCTGTTTATACACTGAAGGCCTAAAATCAGCCATAGGCCTAAAATCAGCAATAGGCCTGTTATACATGTATACTAACACCAAGTCTTGGGTCTCTGTAGAAAAGCATTGAAACATATGGCCATAAGCTATTGTAAACAGGCAGCTTTTGTGGAAATTTACCAGCCTGAGTAGTCATAGACCTTGTAAATAGGTAGCCTTGGCAGATAATACCAACATAGATAAGGACAAGTCAATCATTGGCAGAGTCATAGTGACCTGTCTCCTGAACCTTCACCCAGCTGATACCCTGTTCTGAAAGATATTTGTACTTCCCCTGCACACCCACACTCCAGTGTCATCCCCTTCCCCACATCCTGCTTTTCTGTGTTTACAACCCCTGTGTGAATAAGTAAAAATTACGATTTGATTTAAAAAGAAAAACAGAAAAAAAAGCAATTAAATTAAAACTATGAACATAGTTCACACTTTCTATAGGTCAAATAAATTCAGTAAAAAGATGCACTAATAAGTTGATAAAGTTGGAGACAAAATATCAAAGTTTGAAGGCATGGTTATGAATTATAACATTCAGACAATGACAGATATCATAATGAAAGTGTACAAATAGAACAAATGAGAACTATGAGACACCACTAAAAGATGAAATTTATAAATCCTGAACATAGAAGAGAGTGTGTGTATGCATATGTGAGTACATGTATGTGAGTGTGTATGTGTGCATGTGAAAGCACAGGAAATATAGTCAATTAGATTATAGTAGATGATTTCCCAAACCAACAGAAAGAAATGACCATCAAGATACAGAAGGCATTAAAATGATAAAGAGACAAGACCAGAAAAAAGCCTTCTTATGTCAACAGTAGATGCAGACTACTAATGGTGCAGAAAAAAGAGGGGGAAGGAAGAGGGAGAAAGCTTCAAGAGAAGAGCAACAAATTACACAGAAAAACAAACTGAGGAAAGTGACAGAAACACTAAGATCAAGAAGGGCATGGAATGATGTGTCCCAAGCTCTGAAAGACAATAGTTGCCCATCCAGATTACTATACCTAGCAAAACTGTCTTTCATAAGTGAAGGGAAAACTAAAACATTGCATGATAAACACAAACTAAAAAAAACTAAAGATCACTGACTCAAGCACTACCGGACAAATACACCCTGAGCTAAATAAATCTATGAACCCATAGGAAAAAATAAACCATACTGTAATAGCAGTAAATGAAGAAGGAATACAAGATTTCACATATTTCAAAACAGCAAAATAGCAACAATTAACAATATTTTTGTTAATAGTTTCATTTCTGCAATTAGAAGACCTATACTAACAGACTGGATTTAAAAGGAAAATCTCTCTATTTGTCTGTAATAAACACAAAGACAAACACAGACTTAGGGTAGAAGGATGGAAAAAAGTATTCCAGGCAAATGAAACTAGAGAACCAAAATATGAATGTCCAATAACATAGACATCAAACCAAAAGCAATCAGAAGAAATAAAGGAAGTCACTTCATACTGATTGAGGGAACAATCCATCAAGAGGATATTACCATCCCAGGCATCTATACACCAAGTATCCAATACCTAATTTTATAAAACAAATATTACTGGATATTAATGTGCAGATTTTTCTCAACACAATAACAATGCATGACTTCAATATCCAACTCTCACCAAGAGACAAGTTACAAAGACAAAAGACTCAAAAAAAAAGCAACATTAGAATTAAAAGACATTATAGTTCAGATGGACTTACAATCGTTTTCAGGATGCTTTATCCAAACACTACAGAATATAAACATATCTAAGTAGCCCACGAAACTTTCTGTAAAACAGACCCCATTTTAGGATTGATGATTATGATTTATAACATTCAGACAATGACATATATCATAACAACCACAATAAATTGTGCTATCTGACCACAGTGAATAAAATTAGAAATCAATAAAAACTGCAAAATATGAACATATAGATGATAGATAGATAGATAGATAGATAGATAGATAGATTCATTGCATATACATATTCTTTATTTCATTGCATTTGTTAACAAGAATGACAACTGAACTAACCAAAACAAAGAAAGAAGATCAAAATTGACAAAATTTGAGATGAAAATGAAAACATCACAACATATTCAGAAAATCATCAAGACTGTAACTTAAAAGCTTATATTCTCCTACATTGGATCCCCTAAATGAAACGGATGTCATACATTTTGCCGTGATATGCTGTGAAAGTACAGTAATGAAAACAGTATGATGCTGGTTCAAAATCAGACACATAAATTGATAGAATAGAACAGAAGACCAAGATGGAAACCCATCTAGCTACATCAAGATTTTCTTAAAGGATGCCAAAAAGATACATTGGGTATATAGATACAGATATAGAGAAATATCCAATGTATATTTTTGTACGCACACACATATGCACATGCACACACACAAACAAACACATAAACAAGAACGCTCTGAATAATCTTTAGTAAACTTCCAGTTACTCAGGAAATCATGCCAACAACTAACAATAACAAGCTTCTGCAACAAGATAGAAAGTAGGCAATTGAATTTAAAAGTGTCCTAAATGATGGGAGAAGTATTTGCTTGCTAGACATCTGGTAGAGTATTAATACTAGAATATACAAAGAACTCAAAAACTAAACTATAAGGAAATCAAACAGCCCTTCCAATAAATGAACTAATGAAACAAATAGAAAGTAGAAGATACAAATGGTTGATAACAATAAGAAAACAACACTTAACCTCACTAGCCCTTAGAGAAACACAAATTTAAAAAACCACACTGAAATTTTGTCTTGTCCATTGGAATGAAAGTCAGTAAGAAAACTCACCACAGATCCTGCAAGGACAGGGATGGAAGGGAAGCCTCTACCGGGAGGAATGTGAACTAGCCATTCAGTGTGGAGATCACTATGGTGGTTTCTCAAAGCAAAAAATATATTTACCATATGACCCAGCTATTCTACTCCTTGGCGATTTCTCTGATGACACCAAATCAACATATCACAGAATTGCTTGCACAACAGTATAGTTTGCAGCCCAATGTATAGTAGCTAAGTTATAGCAGCACAGGAATAAAGGAAATGTGCTGTATACACACAATGGAATTTTCTTCATCCATAAAAATGATTGAAGTTAGATCATTTTCAGGGCAATGGATACAACTGGAAGTGATTTTATTAAGCAAATTAAGCAAATTTGTCTCAAAATGACAAATATCATGCTTTCCCTCATTTTTAGTTCCAACATGTCAGAAATTAGGATTTGGTGAGAAGGAGTACTGGCACCCTAGATAGGAAGCAAATGAAGGCACTCTTGAAAGAAGGTTGAACGTACTAAAAGATAAGATAAGCTATTTTCATTTTTATAAAAAAAAATATGGTATAAACAATTAGTTATAAAATTATAAAGTTTGGATCATTTGAATTGTCCTCCCAGGATGGAGAACACCTCCATCTCAAGTGCTTGTAAGAGACTGTCCAGCTACAGCTGTAAAGGAAGATGCCAGTGACATCATCCTTCCAGATCCTAATCAACCAAATGACATGTACTATTTTACCTAAAAGTATCACCTTCTTCAATACCCTGTCACACAATAAAGAGACTCTATAAGTAATCATAGTTTACTGTGTACTTAAAAAGGAAAAATGGGCCGGGCAGTGGCACTTGGGAGGCAGAGCCAGGCGGATTTCTGAGTTCGAGGCTAGCCTGGTCTACAGAGTGAGTTCCAGGACAGCCAGGGCTACACAGAGAAATTCTGTATCGAAAAACCAAAAAAAGAAAAAAATGGTTTTGATTTTCTCAATGAAATATAAATGTTTAAAGAAATAGATGTAGTGATTCCAATTTCGACATTACACAATGCACATGTTTGATATCCCATGAACATGTATAATATTACGTGCCCGTTGAAACATGTTTGGACTGGAGAGTGCTTAAGAGAATTTGTTGCTCTTGTAGAGGACCTGGGTTTGATTCTCAGCACCTATGTGGCAGCACACAACCATCTCTAACTCCAGTCCTAGGGGATCCAGTACCCTCTTCTGACCTCTTCAGGCACCAGTCACACAAACATCCATACATATAAAATAATAAAACAAATAAATCTTTAAAAAATAATTAATATGTAAATATGTTTTAAGTCATTTCTCCAGCTAACTCAAATGCTCCCACTAAAAACCACACAGTTCCACACCCAGTGCAATGACATCACAGAACCTCGTAGAGCTAAGTAACACTTTAAAAAACTTGGGAGAGAATATATTTTTTTGATATATCCTGTTTCCTAAGGCTTAAAAACTAAGCCAATACATTCTATATTTTTGTCTAATTTTTTAAAAAGCAATTTATTACTAATTACAAACTAATTGATCATAACACTATTTTCCTTGAACCTTTCTTTTAAAAATAATGAAATAGTAATTCATATAAGTTAAAATGAGTTATCCCTTGAATAGAACCTAGAAACTCCTTTCTTGGTATCAGTAACTAGAAATGGTTTTTATTGGTCTGTAAAGGAGTATTTCAAAAGGTGTCCTGAGGGGCTAGAGAAGGATTCGTAATGCTTTGTGAATATTTCTTTTCATTTGTTTTTGTATGTACATGTCCAACTCCCCATTAGACAGTGACTGTACAGTTTCTGCTCTCAGTGTTGTCCAGAGCTTTAAAAATATACAAGCATATATACATTCTTGTATACAAAATAAATATATGTAATCCACATTGGAAAAAAAAAAGGAGCACTTTGCTTTAACAAAGCCCACATACTAGCTCACAAAGCACTGTAACTCCAGTTCCAGAGGATTCAAACGTCTCTTCTGACGGCTATGAGCAAAAGGCACACAGATGGTGAACATAGCATATGCAGCCAAAATACTCATAATAAATAAATAGACCCCAAAACAGAGAAAAGCAAAGGGGCAACTGACAGTATCTTAATGTACTTTCATCTCTTGGAGTCCTTGATCTAAATTTTAATAATTAAAACTTACTGATTGCTAAAGCAATCTGGACTTTAAATACTTGAGTAATATTTTAAGATAATTTTCAGAAACAAGCTCAATATAAATACTTGTCTTTACACTTTTTAAAGAGTCACAAAGAGAAACATTAATCAACTCTCATAAGACAAATCACTTAAATGTACCACATGTAGTATAACCCCAAATTTTGGTCCCATAAAGAATAACTTAATGGATATTGAAAGTGTGACTTAATAGTTTTTTTTTTATAAAAACATATGTATAGAATCTCTGAAAAATGCGTTTAGAATGTACTTATCTAGGGTGACAGAAAAGACATATGGAATTATGGAATCTTGACATTGCTCTAATTTAAATTCTTCTCATCTTATTTTTTATCTGAAATCTCTCTAATTTCTACAGATGTTTCCAGCATGTCACTGGGGCCCTTCCCACTCCCTTCTGATGACACAGACCTCAAGGAGATTCTCAATGTCACCCTCACAGACATCCAGAACCCCACAACAGTAAGAAGATCTGAGTTGGTACAGCTTTTCATGCACATGTCTGATCTTTACTTTTTATGTTTTTTTCCTCATGTGTGTGTGTTGTGAATTCATATGTGTATGCATGTCACATGCATGTGGGCACAGGAGTGCTAGGATTATAGGCAGGCGGTCATGCACCCTTGGCTTTTCCTTGGATTCTGGGAGCCAAGACCCTGAGTCTTCATGTTTGCACAGCAAGTACTAAACAGCTGAGTCATGTCTCTCCCTTGGCTTGTTTTCTTCAGTAAACTAGGGAAAGGGCTGGATGGATCAGATACTCAACATTTTCAGTACTGTCTTTTCACCACTCAAATTATCTCAGTGTCTTTATCCTATTCTCTATTCTTATATCATTCTAAGGGCTGAGGAAATAAATAGGTTGAAAATTATAAGATAGAGTTCCCTCTTACAAAAGGCGAGCAGTAACCCTTCTCCCCTGTACCTGATAGATATTTGCGTGTAATAGGTGCCCCCTAAGGATAAAAATCAATCAATCACAATCAATTCACACATTCTATACCAAAATATAAGCTTGTATTAGTCTCTATAATGTCATATTAGTATGTCTCTATCATGTGCAGCATAAGTATATCAATTATGTTTCAAAATCCTCCACATCAAGCCAGAGAAACATAGAAAGAGTGATCTGAGGCTAAGAGGCTAATGTATGTAAGAGGTCACCATGTAGACTGGTGCAGCTGTGAGAAGTATTTAGAATATCAAAATAGGAAGTGTTTATCCTTCAAAAAAAAACTGACTAAATCTAGACAGTGCTGAAGCAGAGAAACATGGTCCTTGTTACTCATGAGAAGTGGAGCTGGCAACCCAAAGAATGACAAGCCAGAAGTTCCCACCCTTACACTGCTGCTGCAGACACACCTGCTCTCCTGGAATCTATGGGGTGCCCTTTTTCTCTGCCCCCAATCCTTTCAACTTCCCTCCAAGGTGCAGGAAAAAAAATCCTGCAAAGGAGAAGAAAAAAATCCATCTTACCAGCTCTGCTTGAGACATGTTGATGAGCAGCCTGCTGGACACTCTATGCCCTGCAGATAAGATGGCAGCAGCTACAGCTCAACTATTGCTATGAACAAGGAAGAAAAATAATGTGGTTTTTTGTCAAAAAAACAATCTGCCTCACCAACAGGAAATATTCTATTGGGAAAAAAGTATTTGTAATTCAAAATATTTAACATAAAATTTGTAATATGGCTAGTCTTTTTTCTTCCTTTCTTCTCACTGCCTTTGTCCTGCATCCTTCAATATCTAATGTAGGTACCTCCCTCTGTGTGAATATTCCCACATCTCTCATCTGCCATATCCCCTGAAGAGCATCCTCTACCATTTTTATCTATGACCTATTCTTTTCCTTGGCAAATAGTTTTACTAAAGTCTACTGATGTGCCAAGACTAGAGATGTACAACAAATATTCAAAGATAAGCAAGATAGCTCCTGCATCAAAGAACATATACACAATTATATATGAAAGAGTACCTTGAGTGCTAGGATTAAAGATGGCAGGATAAATTATTGAGACAAAATGATAAATCAGGACAGGCTATAAGGGTACACTCCTTAGACTTGCATACTCGGTGAGTATTATGATTATGCATAAATACCCTTTTGGTTTTGCTTTTAGGGATTATGTACAGTAGAAAATTGTGTGGACCAACAAGACTTGCAGATAGAGAGAGGACAACAGGCAAGTGTAGAAGTAGATGCCGAACAAGAGGTTGAAATGCAGTACAAGGGAGGCAGGGGCAAAGATTTCTGCACTCTAAGTAAAGAAAGAATACTTCAGACAAAACATCGAATGAGGGAAATGATATGAGAGAGAGAAAGAGAGAGAGAGAGAGAGAGAGAGAGAGAGGAGAGAGGAGAGAGAAAGGGGGAGAGGGAGAGGGAAAGGGAGAGAGAGAGAGAGAGGGTGAGAGGGAGAGAGAGAGAGAGAGAGAGAGAGAGAGAGAGAGAGAGAGAGAGTTAAATAGAGTCTCCAGGAGGAGAAAAGCAGACTTAATCTAGCAGTCATGTCTGCAGAGTGAAACTTAAATTATTCAAGTAGATGGGAAAAAAACTATAGAGAACATTAAAGGTACAGAAGAGGGCTTTAGGTTTTAACCACAAGTAATGAGGAGTCTCTGGAGGTGCTAGGTGAGAAAATGTAAAAATCTGTCTTTTACATATGGACTATAAATAGAACAATCTCCACCCCAACCTCAGAGTCCAGAGGAGGAGAATATGAACACAGAACCAAAGAGCACAGATTCCAGTCATACCTAAGTAATCATCTTTAGTGAGGTGTTTTACAGAACACTGACCGTAAGAAGTAAAACCACATCATATACTTCAAAGTTGCTAGGAGAATAGATTATAATGTTTTCAATGTGTGCAAACACACACACACATACACAAAAGAGGTTTTTAAATTTGAAGTGCTGGATATATTAATAAGGCTAACACAATCTCTCCAGACTATAAACATATATCAAAACATCCCATTGTACCCTGTAAGTATAGACAATTATTATTTGTTATTTTAAAATACGTTGAAGCTGGATAATGAGGTGTATGCTTGGAATTCCAGCACTTGAAGGGCAGAGGTTGGACCAAGAGTTCAAGCCCAGACTTAACTATATAACAAGTTTCAGAATAGTTTGGGAGACAATGAGATTCTGCCTCAAATAAATAAATACAACTTGAGGAGTGCCTCAAGGCTATCCTGAGCTACAAAGTTTTACTCTGACTCAAATTAGAGAAATGATCAACCCAATGGAGCTCCAGAACTTCGTCTTACTGTGTCTCTTACTACAATTCAGAGTCAACTCATGAGTCACAAGACTTCTATTCCAAAGCCACTTGGACCTTCACAGTATAATTCAAGATAGAGTGGCAACATATATCACATAATATTGCTGATTGTGGGTTGTTTACATTAATAGAGCCCCTTCTGTTTATGTTGTTGTTTTTAACCCAGGAAAGTAAAACAGAACCTACTCATGTGTCTGAATTCTCATCAGAGGAAAAGGTGGAGTTCAGCATCTCTCTGCCAAACCGCAAGTTCAAGGCAGAGCTCACCAACTCTGAGTCCCCATACTTCCAGGAACTGGTGGGACAGTCCCAACTGCAGGTGAGTGGACTAGCCTGTACCCCCACACCCCAAGTTATGGCACCATCTGAGAGATAACAGCATATTATGTGTCCTTTGGCTATTAGCTCCAACTTCTTGAGATCAGGCTTCCATTGTTAACCACTAAAACAAACAAACCAAAAAAATTAAAAACTAATACTACATTAAGTTCCAAAATATTAGGGCAAATTATTCAGTGTAGCTTTTCCATTGGTCAATATTATCTATGTTTAAATTATCTTTAAATTTTAATAAATTTTAAGCTCACTTAACTAAAAGCCACAAATATTCTACATATGTAAATTGCCATTACTATAATGACTCATAAGTAAACACTTTTCCAAAAATCCATCAAGGTGTATATTAAATACTTTCATCTTTTTGTATGTCAATTATATATCAGTAAAACTGATTAAACTTTTAGAAGATTAACATAAAATGATTGCCTAGGCACCAACTAGAGAATCTAACTGATTAAAATATGAATTTTCAATTCATAATACTATATCCATACTAATATTTCTACTTCTGCAACTTGAAAGGTATCTATGTTTACTACTACACCACCAATGCTACCTTTGCAATTTGATACAATTTAAATACATGACATTAAGTGGCTATAATTAAAGTGCTTATTTACTAATTACTAGAGCAAGAAGTAAACTAAGATATCTCTTCTATCTTTTAGCATTATCACACCTCTTTGTCTTTGGCTGAATTGAAATGTTCCTTAACTCTCTGCAGGATAAATCCAACTATGTTGTTGAGTGCAGCATATGGATGCTGAGGGTAGCAGCTGAAAATGGGAAAAGGGGAGAGAAAGGATTGTAGACACGACCAGAGTTGTTACAAAGTGTTTACCAGGTATAGTGAGTCCATCACAGAGGCACTCAGCCTATTGGTGGCCTCTGGAGTGGAATGAAGAGAGATGATTCCCAGACCTGTAAAGCTACTTGCAAGTCCTGCAAAGAGCTCCAGGGACCCTGCTCTCCTGAGTTATGGCCACTGTTGGAGTAGGCTTTTTGGTGATGTATTGCATTTGAAGTGCTTCTAGTTCTATAAATAGCCCTTCACATATACTCCTGTATGTAACCCCAATTTAAAAAAAAAAAATTGGTTCACTAACTCAGACTTAGTTTAAAGCCATTACTTTGGCCTGCTGTGGGTTTCATGTATGGAGTGAACAAATGTGCATGTGTTAAGCCATCAAGACCAAGAAGGCAGCATGAGTGAGTACTAAGAGTGAGGGGAAATTGCGAAGAGTGTCATAGTTTGAATATATTTGGCAGAGGGAGTAGCACGATTTGGAGGTGTGGCCTTGCTGAAGTAGGTGTATCACTGTGGGCGTGGGCTTTAAGATCCTCATCCTAGTTGCCTGGAAGTCAGTGTTCTAGCACCCTACAGATGAAGATGTAGAACTCTCAGCTCCTCCTGCACCATGCCTGCCTGGATGCTTCCATGCTCCCACCTTGATAATAATGAACTAAACCTCTGAACCTGTAAGCCTGCCCCAATTAAATGTTGTCCTTATAAGAGTTGCCCTAGTCATTGGTGTCTCTTCACAGCAGTAAAACCGTAACTAAGACAGAGAGAGAGATGGTAATGAAGGGATACGAGACAAAGCTAAAAAGGAAGGCTTGTCATGGAGCCCAGATGTTCTGAAATCACCCTGTTTTAATGATTTGCTAAAGAGTGTTTTAAATACCAAATGGAACAAGTAACAAACACTTCATTAGTTCATTCTGCTTAATAATTCATGTCTAAGTACTTGTGTATGGTTCATGAACACTGCAGAATCCTTCGTTTTCAAGCTAATATAAGCGATACTTTATAATTAATTACTTGACTTTCCGATGATGATGATGATGATGATGATAGGGGTGGGAGGTCAAGAAGGTTTTGTGTATACATCTCCTCCCTAGGTGAGAGGTTAGCACTGAATTCTCAAACTATGAGAAGCAGTGATCCTTTGCTACCCTAGCCATAGATGAGTACCTAAAACAGCATAATAGTGAACATTATTAGGCTCCATCTAACTGTAACCAAAATCCCAACCTTAATCCTAACCTTAGCCTTAACTCACTGTTTATCACTGAAGGAAGTCAGGCCAGGAACTCAAGCAGAGCAGGAATCTGGAGGCAGAAGCTGAGACAGAAGCCATAGAGGGATGCTGCTTACTGTTTCATTCCTCATGGCTTGCTCAGCCTGCTTTCCTGTAGAACCCAGGACCAGCAGTCCAGGGATGACATCATGCACAATGAGCTAAACTCTCTCCCATCAATCACTAGTTAAGAAAATGACACACAGGCTTACCTACAGCTCAGTATTATGGAGGCATTTTCTCCACTGAGGCTCCTTCCTCTCTTGTGACTCTAGCTTGTGTCAAGTTGACATAAAACTAGCCAGTACAGTATCATTCCCTTTTTAGTGAGTAAGAAAATTGAGCAAGGGGGAAAATTAACATCCCCAACTGACACAGCCGTTACCCAGCAAATAGAAGATCCTAACTCAGGTAGTCAAGCCTTGTACATTTATCACTACCCAATGCTTCTTATTTTTTCCAAATTAATGTTTATGGAAAATGGGTAACTGTATCATCAAGTCACCTTTTAGTCCTTGAAAAGCTTACTAAGCAAAGAAGTCTATCCCTTTTCCAGCTTTGCTCCAAAGAACATCATCCTGCAAGCTCTTTCTTCATTTCTACCATTACTTAAGGCCCAGTCCTCTCTTTGTAGAACCTGTCTGCTTACCGGCTCCTGAGCAGGACCACTCTAAGGCCTGCATTAGAAGCAATCAGTGTGCCCCCCCATAGCGTGTATTAGCACAGTCATTGGGGCCTCATCAGGAATTAATGGACAGTGCCTTGCAGTCATTTAATTTCTACAATAAACCTAATGAGCAATTTAATACAAATGTCAAAAGGAACCACTTGGTTGTTGTCTGAATGCTTTCTCCTGTGCAAACATTCAGGAAAACTCAGCTGTAGCTGCTTTTTATAGCCCGTTAACATACATTCTGGCAGAATCAGGGAGACCCCTGTGCATTCTGTATTATTAATAAGGTTAAGTGGCCACTTAATTAGCAATTTAGTGGCTAGTGGTTCATGATTCGAAGGTCCCCAGTAGATTACTTAGTGGAATTAACTGAAGGGTTTTGTCATTGCGTCCCTAGACACCATCTACACCCTTCTGTGCAAAGCTGATTCTTAATCAAACTCAGACAGGTCCACAAATAGGGCAGGGACACAAACAAAAAAACAGCCCTGCATTAAAGCCTTGTTGTGACATACTCCTAGAGGGGATGGAGGACAGCCCTCCAGGGCACAGCAAGGGCAATTTCTATGGAGGTGCTTCCATGCTTCACTGGCTGCTTGCACAGTAGGCTAGGGTCTCTGTAAAGAGAATACTTCAGATCATTATAACCTGCTTCAAATACTGCAGCATACCCTTGAGCCTTTACACCCTAAATTCACTGGGGTTCCACAGCTGTTCCCACAGGACACCACAGCACGCTTGACCTGTGTACAAGGACATTTCCTGTAGCCTCCCAAATAAAGCCCAGCTCTATAGAACCTGGCCTCCCTTTCCCCTGGTTCTTCCCCTCTGTTAAGCTCATTGCAGGTACACAAATTTATTTCCCTAGGCGTTCGTTCTCCCCATCCCCACCTCCCAAAAACCACAGTAGGAACCCGCATTCTGCCTCCCCCGCCTAAGTTGTTTTAAAAACTATCTAAAAGCTGGGTCTGCCCTTGGAGAATCCATGCTGTGGGGGAAATTGGAACTCTCAGGGAGCTAGTAACCCAATGAAAAAGTAGAAAATAAAGTAAAATAAATAAATAAATAAATAAATAAATAAATAAATAAATAAAGACCCTGACTGTCTGCCAGACACATGTTACTTGTACATCATTCCTTACTGGTACCCTGTGGCATGGACATCAGTGTCCCATTTTGATCAAGAGACCATGACCCAGAGATTAAGCAATAAACCCAGGAGTTTGCAGCTAGAAAGTAATAGCACCAATATTTAAACCCAGCCCTGCACGGTGGCTCCTTACCACCCAGATTAAGCTACTTTTATCACCAGAGTTCCTATAGGTTCAGGAAATGAAAGCTATTTTTAATATTGGCACAAGAAAATATAATTAAAAGGTAAATCAGTCTGCTGGAAAAAATTTTTTCCATGATGCAGCCCAAAGCCCCAGGGGAAATTGGGAATTATCTATCTATGCATCACTGATACAGTACTTGATGCTAGGGATACAAAGTGGCAGTGACTTTTTAGATTCAGTGGCAATGAGCTTAGAGAACGAAAACATGAACTCAACTCATCAAGCAATATTTTTTTTAGTTCTTTCTGTGTAGGTGACAATATGGTAAATTCTAAAAGCAAGGGAGATAGAGATGAGTAAAGAAGACTGTCCCTAGGCCAAAGGGCATGCATCTCCTAGATCCTGGGTGACACACTAAAGAGATGTGCCCTGGCAGAGAGAAGAGACTCCAATCGTAAGCTGAGTCTGGAGTGCTCACATTTTAGGAGAGAAAGGCTCAGTGGAAGCAGTCACTGAGTAGAAGATGGGGGTACTGTGTTGTAAGCCAAGGGAAAATAATCCACAAGGCTCTGGAGAAAAAGAGGTGCATGTTATAAATGGGGAAGGACAGAGGTCAGCTTGGATTCACTGGGAGGCCAACTATCAGCTACTGGTCAGTGGGATAATGGCAGAAAGAAGTGCATCTGACTTTTCTATTTCTGTGAAGAGACATCATGACAAAGGCAGCTTATGAAAGAAAACATTTCATTGCGGACTTGCTTACAGTTTTAGAGAATGATTCCAGGGCCATCAGGGTAAGATGATGCTGGGGAGCATGGCAGCATGGCGCTGGGGCAATAGTTGAGAGCTTTCATCTTATTCACTGGCAGCAAGCAGAGATAGATTGGATGGATGGATGGATGGATAGATAGATACATAGATAGATACATAGATAGACAGAGACAGACAGAGAGGGAGATAGGAAGAGGGAGACAGAGAGGAAAAGGTGCAACTGGAATTCTTTGGGTTTTTGAAACCTCAAAGCTCACCTCCAGTGAAAGGACTCCTAGGAAAAAAAGCCATATTTTCTCCAACAAAGCCACACCTCCTAATCTTTCTTAAACACCAACTGGAGAGCAAGCATTCTAACCTATGAGCCTATGGGGTAGAATGTACCCACCAAAGTATGAATGGAAGGCATAGTGCAGAGTGGGGAGAGTGTTAAGTGACTTCCTGAAGAACTGGACCTTATTCCACAGGCAATGTGGCCAGACCGAGGAGTTTGGGATGAAAAGCAACAATATGGAACTTGGAAAAAATAATTTCTGATGTACATATCAAGAAGAGGAGGCAAAGAAACAGGGGAGAAAACTCTTGCTCTCCATCTGCAGCCCAACACACACACACACACACACACACACACACACATGGTGGGGGATGGGCACTAACTCAATTCAACAGTGCAGCAAAGGAGGCTGGTAAGGCTGCTATACAAAACGATACTGTGGAAAAATCATGGGATTTAAACAGAAGTTAGTAACCGCTAATGAGAGCCAATGAGAGGAGGTATCTGGGTATCCTAGAATTTCTGGTATTACCTTGTCTGACATGTGGAAGTCAGGAAATAATGCAGATTTGAGGGGGAAAATGATACTTGTGTAGAGAACTCAAGACCAGTTAAGTGATGGCTGAAGCCATGGGAGAAAATCAGATTTCCCTACTGAGGTGGAGGAATGGGGAATGGAGGAGATGGGGGATGAGGGATCAGAGAAAGGCAGGAAGGAGGACAAGGCTGGCCTCGCTTGTCTTCCTATTGTCCTACTCACTAACTGGCTTTGCTCCTCCACTAACTGACTTTGCTTCCCTCTCAGACTTGCTTGTCTTGTAGGAAAGCTGTTGTGGATGGGTTATAGAATGAGAAGGAGCAAGGTGTGAAGGCTGGGGGTGTGAGTTTGAAAGGTCTTTACACTTAAAGGCTAAAAACAAGAAGTTGGTGGAGCAAAGAATACTGATCTGTGATCTGTGAGAGAAAAAGAGGAATAAGCCAAAGTTCCAGGTGTGAAGGAAGATTTGGAGAGAGCTCCCTACTCCTGCAGAACCACAGGGGGCAAAAATGGGGCTGTGAGACTGGGAAGGAGCCAGGAGACAATGCTGATACTGAGCCTCATTAACAAGTGAAATTAGGAAAACTTGGGAGACCCATGCAAGTCTAACAAATCTAATTGATCAGCCACTTTCCGTTTAGTAATACCTTTAGTGCTGTATTTTCCAAATCCTCTAATTCAATTCAGAAAACATCATTAGCTTACTATTAGCTATATAGAGAAAAAGTGTGTACTACTCTATGTAAATAAAAATGCTGTAGTTAAAAAAGTTTCCCTCCAGGCTGTCCCTGAATCTGTTGCTTGTCTGTGGATCCCATTCCTCTAACTGAGCTGCCTTGTAGGGCCTCAGTGGGAGAATTCTGCAGTGACTTGATGTACCAGGATGGGGTGATACCCAGGGGGGCCTCCCCCTTCTCAGAGAAGGGAAAGGGAGAATGGGAGAGGGGCTGTGCGAGGGAGGGACCAGTGAGGGGACCTCGATTGGGTTGTAAAGTGACTAAATAAATTAATGGGAAAAAAGAATTAAAAAAAAAAGGTTCCCGGCAAAAACCATCTTAAAGTATTTCACATGTTATATAACATAACTTTTAAAGCATCTCAGAGCTATTCATATATGGCTTTACAGCTAATAAACAAAATACTCTCTAGGCTTCAGAAATATCTGTGAACAGAGGGAGTTTGACATGTTTTGTTGTTTCAGTTTTCTGTTTCAACTGTCTCCTAACTGACTCATCAAAAGTGTGTGGAGGTTTTGTTCATTGTTTGGTAAGATCTGAGCCAGTAGAACCAAAGAATATTTCATACATTTCTTTCCTGCTGCAGTTGCAAAAGATATTTAAGAAACTTCCAGGATTCGGAGAAATCCGCGTGTTAGGATTTAGGTAAGTAAGAGAAACAGACTGCTCTCAACTTTAAATTTAAAACAACAAATTTGAAAATCACTTTCCATGGCCTCCTTTAAAAGCGATGCTCAAGGGATTAGAAGGTCCCCTTTCCAGCAGTTGTTTAACTCAGATCCTAAACTACAGCCCAGGATCTGCAATGCTGCTCAAAGAGCTGGAAATACCACCCTCTACAGAGCATCTGCCAGTCGTCCTTGGCAATATCATTAGCAAATCTCTGCAAAACACCAAGGTAAAGACACACCAAGAAGCAGCAGCAATTAACTGCCTTGGTATGGGGTCGCCTCGTGTTCTCTCCAAGGCTAAACCTCATCCCGGTTGGCATAAATCACATTAGCCAAGAAACACAGGTGGAACTGATTTACAGATGGAGGGGCTGAAGGAATGGAATCCACAGGGGCAAAGCAAGACTTCTTAAACATATTTTCTTATTTTGTCTACTGTATGGACTAAAGTAATGCTGTATTATTCAAAAAGTAAAGACTTGATTAGTAACGTGTGGTAAAGGAGGCGCTCCAGCTGGTCTGTAGCTGCCTCACCCACAGCATCCTAATACAGGTTCCTGGGTTTAAACATAAATTTTTGCTTCATTTTTAAAGTTGTTCTTATTTCAAGCATCTATGGGCAAGCTCGATGGTTAAATGGTACTTAGTGCTGCAGGATACATAGCAGTCCTGGTGGAAGCAGGATGTACTTCCATGCCTGGGAAGGTAGGAGGTGACTTGGGAAGAGCGAGCCTTGCCCAAGTCTTTCTGGTTCTGTCACCACCTGGTCTTGGAGCAGAAGAGCTTGGGAAAAGCATCCTACACCTGGGCAGAAGGGCTTAGGGGACGTGACCAGCTGTGTCTATGGGCTGTCAGGCCTCTCTGATTCATATTGCTCCGGAGGAGGAAAATATTGGAAAGGAAAGTGACAAAAGACGGAAATTCTAATATTTACCAAAGCAAACTCACTCTGCTTCGTGTCAAGAAGCCACTCTGCGGTATTCGACTTGAAGTCAGACGGATGAGAGGATAATCAGAGGTGATAGACACATAGTTTGCATAGATGGCAAAGTCTTCTGGATAAAGTACTACAGTTAAACAACAAATTTTTAATCTACAGCTTCAGGAAATGATGGAAAGGCTTCTCCTGGTGAGTGATTAAATGTGTGTTATCGCCTCTCTGCGACAAATGAAAATCTAATTGTAAGAAAATCGACTTGAGAGGAGAATCACAATGTTAGGCAGTGAAATTTTTCAAGGTAAAACTTTTAAAGAAGGAATGGCTGGAAACTGAATCTTTCCCATGTGTGTGTCTCAGTGAAGATTTATTCCTAGTTCTGCCCACTATGCTTATAAAATTAGTTCAGTCAGTTTGCCAGTTATTTTCCTTCAGTCATGAGAACTTCAGTCCACTGAAAAGTATGTAGGCCAATGAATTCAACAAGCCATGTGCTTGTGAGCTCCACAGATCGTTCACCATTGATACCAATGCTGAAGATGTTCTGGAATAAACTTACTATAAAGACATTGCTTTTGTCATAGGTCTAGAGGCCAACAGACGATTCATCCTTATCAGTCACACACACTGCCTTTCCTTTGCCTCGTTTGTAGAGAAGCTTATTTCTAACTTCATAAATTGCTTAGTATGAACAGCCTCACATGATTCTCTCAACATAAACTGGAAAATAATTAGGACGCCATGACTAATACAATTTTAAGTATTAACAATTAAAGCACCACTTTGAGTATTGCTTCATTTTTAGGGCAAGTGTGGGAAACTATTAATAATTTCTCAATTTAGTGGTAGAGTGTTTTTCTTCAGCCTGCTGTATAAATGTCCATCACATCTTTATCTTTGATACCCAAACCATGGAAACAAACTAACAGTCCATCAACAGAACAATAGAAAGTTCTAGAATGTTCTCAATATAGACAATTTTCTTGACAAAGAAATAACACTTTTGACATATGTGACAAAAGGAATGTACCTCAAAATAACTGTGCTGAGTGAAAGAGCAGACAAGAGTGCATTATGTTCTATTTATATTGAATTCCAGAAAACACAAACTCATCTACAGTGACAGAAAACATATCAGTAGTTTCTCGGACATAGAGGAGCAGGGTGTGAAAGAGGAAGATCACAAAGAAGCAGGGTAAATCTTTTAGGCTGGTAAATGTGCTCCGTATCTTTATTGTGGTAATAAATAATTCTTCTTTAAGATTTCCATTTGCTTATGGAAGCATATGTCAACAAAACAATCTTTAATTGTCAAGAATAAGATTTTGGTCCAGGAAGTATGCCTGCTGCTGTCCTTGGCTTCATGGGTTTCTAACTACAAAGATGCAAGAGCAGACTCTGGATGGATGTCTGATAGAGAAGCCCTCTTTTCACGGAGTGTTACCAATTAGAAAGACAGTAGATTCTCTGTCTCCAAAGCAGGAACATGGATGGGAGCCAGTCTGTAGCATGTCCATTATGGTCATGTTATATCAGGGCATAAAAGTGAAATGAATTTGTAATCCAAGCAGAAATACCAATGACGCTAATCCCATCACATATACAGATTGTCTTCATCAGAAACTGTCATTTGAAATATAAGGAGAAAATACCAAATACAGTTTCTAAACTAATTTCTAAAATGTATCTTTTATTTTGGTAATCAAAGTGTCTTTCTCAGGCACACACCACTGGGTGGGATAACAAACTAAAACCAAGGTTGAGGAGATCTTGCCTCTGCTGGTCCTGAGTCTGTCTCCCTCTGTGTATACCTTTGTAGTTCCTGTAAAATGATGAATCTGTTGTTCTAAACATTAAATGAAAACACACATAAACTGCTCAGTATATATCACCCACTCAGTAAATCGGCAGTTTTCTTGCAAGTTTTCACTGTGAATGGAACCAATTCCTCAACTGATTAAAACAATTCAAAGAAAAATCAGCAAAACACTGGTTCTAGAGCGTCAGCCTCAGATGTTACCTCTGCGGATAAAGGAGTCCCTTAATGACATTCAAGAGGAAGAGAATCTGTTTGCAAAGTACTTTATAAAAACATCCTGGCAATGGCTACCCAAATATAAGATACATAGCATATATTTGCAGCCTCCTTAAGGACATCAGGTTTTAAAAGAAGACAATAAATGCAGACATCTTTGAATGAGGGCTCAAATCATGATCAGAAACCACATTTAATGATATTTACATCCCGAAACTCGTGATTCTAAAAGCTGACATTCAAATTTCTAATGGCAGTTTGTATGTTTCTCCAAATCTTTGGACAAATATGAAGGACAATGTAAAAACATTTTTGAGTATAAAATAAACCACTGACAGATTCAATAAATCTCACCAAAATTCTTTCTCCCTTGCATGTTTTCGTGATATGTGGTGAAATGAAGACCAAAGAAAGAAGAAGATGGGTAATATTGATTATTTTTTATGTTTTGAAATGTAGTATGCTTCCCTCTGCGAATGTCTAAGCTGTTGTTTTGTTTTGTTTTGTTTTGTTTTGTTTTGTTTTGTTCGTTTTTTGTTTTTCGAGACAGGGTTTCTCTGTGTAGTCCTGGCTGTCCTGGAACTCCCTCTGTAGACCAGGCTGGCCTCGAACTCAGAAATCTGCCTGCCTCTGCCTCCCAAGTGCTGGGATTAAAGGCATGCGCCACCACTGCCCAGCTAAGCTGGGTTTTTAAAAATAATTTTCACATGTAATGTCTTGAGTAAGCCAATGAATTTTAGTACTTTTATTTAAATGGAATTAAGTTTCATTTAGTAATTTAGAAAATATCTCTAGCCAAATCACCATGTGATATTAGCAGGGAAACATTGACTTGACCATCTGAAAAATCTTGTATAAAAAACTGAAGCTCTCATTAGAAAAAGCGTGGTACTACAGATGTGTTATGTACACAGCATGATTCAACTAGATTTTGTATGTTTACAATGAGAGATGGGCTGGCTGGCCAGACTCCTGAGTGCAGTCAACTGAGGTCTGGATTGAGGGAGGGAAACTAATTTGCTCCTCAGCCCCAAGGTCAGTTTGAGGTGGGAAAATGACCCACTATACCTGGAAGAGCTCAGTAATGAGAAACTGGCTTTGGCTCCCACAATTGACTAGTGAAATAATGAACTGTAGTCTCTGACTGATTATGTGGTCTGAAGAGCTGCCAAGAATACACATTATCAGTTCCTGAGGCCTTTAAAAACATTTCTGCTTCTCCCTGTGTAGATTTATGGCAGGAAACAAAAGGTAACACTTGATTCTCAAGGACAGAGCTGTAAAGAATCTTGTTTGAGATTTGCATGCTGAAGGAGATTGTTTTAATAAATAGAGTAGTAAATACAGTTAATCATGTACTGTGCGCTGCCTCCCTTTTCTTTTCTTAGATAGTTTGCTATTATTTTTCCTTGCTCTATTTCATTTAAAGGTTTTTAATTTTGAAAATACTTCATGGAAAAGAATGGAAGGAAACAGATCTTAAGGACTGAAGTTTCACTTGGTTATGGCCCACGTAGCCTATTGTACCATGACTATATCCTGCATACTAGTCCATAGACATTAAAGGAGGTATCTTGTTGAAAAAGTACCAGTTCCTTGCTCTTTCTGACTGACAATGCATGACTTCTAAGACTACCAAAAGCATTGATCAATTAATAATGAATAATACCTTTTTAAATGTAAATACAATCCCCTTTTAAATTAGACTTAATCCCCAGGCTGAAATTCTACTTTAAAACAAATTATTTGTTAATATTTTCCATATATTAAATTTGTGGCAACTATTGAAGTATACTAAGTTGGATATTCTAGAAGAGCCTATCAGGAAAGAAGATAAACTATCCTGAAGACTTACAGCAACACAGAAACTCTCTAGTCTTGTAACAATTGCTTTGGCTAGAACATGTCCTCTTCTCTCCATAGTTCAAGCTCCACAGAAATACAACTTATGGCCATCTTTAAGAGGGACCATGCAGAAGCAAAAAGTCCTGATAGTGATCTCCTGTCTCTCGATTCCAATAAAATTGAAAGTGAAAGAATCCGTCACGGAGCCATAGAAGACAAGCAACCAGTAACCTACCTCACAGCCACAGACCTCAGAAAACTCATCACACAGCTACTAGATGGAGACCAGTCCTTGGTGGAAGGGACAGTTCCGCTCAGTGATGGTCAGTCGGTGATGCCATAGTTCCAAGTTTAACCTAATTCTGACAGAGAGGCTATGAAGTATGATTTTATGATGGATTGACATTTTTAACTTGGGCCTTGTAAAGTGATATCACTATGACAGGCACATCATGTATGGTACTATTTCTGGCTTTCCTCACACCTCCTGTATCCCATTTCATCAGCCCTTGGTGATGATTTTTCACCAAAGATAAGTCTGGAAGAATACAGTAGTTTCAATTCAGTCAGGTCAAACATGTTCAGCCAGTATGGCCTAGACATAAAGAAGAACTTGTGGGCAGTTCCATTACATGTGTCTTCTCATCCAGTAAACTTGTCAGGCTTTAACAGGAAACAGATGGCATATTCAAATGAGGCTAATTTTAAAAGAGCTGATAGAATGAGAGACTGTCCATGAAAGTTTTCCCTTACTCAAAAGCACGGAATAGCCTCATAAGGCTAGAAGCAGCATGGCCTCACTGCTACCTCTAGGCCTGAGGGTTGCCCATGAGTGCAACACACCCCAGAGAGGAGGTTTAGGAACCAATGGTACAGTCTGTATAAGTCAATCTTCAAAGGGATCCAAAACAGTAAACTAGATAACCTGATGTGCTCAGGACCTCTAGAGGATGCCGTAGGGGACCCAGGAGCCTGGGGCTCTCAGGCACAGCAGAGAGTATAATAGAGAGTCAATAGAAATGCCATTTCTGTACAAGATAGCATGAAATAATCATTCTCTGACAGTTCTGTTATCAATCTATCAGCTCTTTTTAAATTAGCCTCATTTAGATCAGCAAAGCATTATCTCTGAAAATTGGGGGTAGGAGGATTATGAAGCCTCTGAAACAACAAGTGAACAACTTCAGACTCATCTCCTGAGATCATTTATTACTTTAGGTTTATGTCTTTGTTAAGCTTTCTGGGGGAGTTCTGAGAACTAGAAGGCAGTACAGTGTATCCACAGATACATTACAGTGTTAATATTAACCATTTCTTTCTTTCTTCGCAAGCTAAACCATATTTTCATTCCCCACTGGCCTAGCCAACCAGCCTCGCTATTTGATCCAAATCTGTAGACTAAGGCTGGGAAACCTGAAAATCTCTAAACTACTAACCTTTTGTAATTGATCTTATTATTTATTGGCATATACTACTTATGCATATTCATGAGATATAATGTTATGATTGGATACATGTACATCACATAATGATCAAAGCAGTGTAATTATTGTATCTATCACCTTAGTCACTATCATTTCTTTATGATGAGAGCATTCAAAACTTCTCTTATAGCAATTATGAAATAGACAATACATTATCATTAACTATAATCACCCCACTGAACAACATAATTCTAATATTTATTCCTTCTGTCTACTTACACTGTTTGTTGTACTCATTAGCAATCTCCCCTGCCACTTCCTCCTGTTCTTAGTAATTCCCATCACATAAGCATACAAGATGCAACCCTATAATCGTCCTTTAGTGCATTATTCAGATTACTAACCATTAGTCTGGAACTCCAATATCTTAGTGATTTGTAACACTACTCCTTAGGAATTCATTATTACTACATTTTAGAACCTTAACTATTTTGTTACCTAAATCATAAAAGAAAAACGAAATATTTTAGCCTTGTGATTTTTTTTTCATCCCAGAAGTTACTGGGCCACTCTTCAGACCTGCCACTGAATCAGAGCTGCTCAACCCCCTTGCTGATGTCACAGAAGTAAGTATTTTGTCCTTCTGAGACCTTCCCATCAATAAACCTGATAAATAATTAGTTTTATAGATTGAGTAGAAAAATGTACTCTTCATAATGTTAAATATTAAGTATGTTATGTTTTTAGGACTGCAATTGAGAGTCCACTTCCAATAACTGTGTTAACAAAAAATAATTCAAATTGCATTTCAAATATTCTAAAATTCAGTTCCCTTATATTTCATTAGATATGTTCAATTTTGAGTCAGCTTGTGTTCTATGTTTAATAAAACACATTTTAAATTTTATTTGAAGAGGAAGAGGAGACACTGGCATGGCATGGTATACATGTGGAGGTCAGGGGCCGATTTGCAGAAGCTGGCTCACTCTTTTCATTATGTGGGTCCCAGTGATTGCACTCAGACCACCAGGCTTTGTGGCCAGTGCCTCTTCCTGCTGATAAAACAGGCCAGTCCCTTTATAAAACAGATAAAACACATTTTTATGAACTAAAATGAATAATTAAAGCAAAATATAATACTTTTATTTTCAGAAATACCCTTTTAAATTTATTGTTAATTCCTAAGATCTTAACTAATTTTTTATTTATGGGAGGCGGTAAATGCAAATTAGCAACTTAGAAACCAAGAGTAATTGATACAGTAGTAAGTTTGGTATTCAACTTAAAGCTATGTCACTGTCAGTATTCTAGAAGCTCTCACTGGAGTGTGCATAAATAGGAATTCCGAGTAAGCCCATGCCCACTCTAAATGAAAAAATTATAAGTTAAACCATGACTGGCACAATTCAAAGTATTTCAGTCATTAATTAGTCATGTCCAGCAAGACAGTCAGCTGAGAAACGAGAGACTGCCAGGCCCGGCCATGTGGTCCTTTCAGGATATAGTTCCAGGTTCCTCCTCCATAAAAAAGTCATGCTAACAACAGAATTCTTCCCTTAAATTTAAGTATAGCCCTTCTTGAACACAGAGAAACATCCATTCTCAACCTCTCTTTCTATATTAACTCCTCAGGACGTCACTTTGAATCCAGAACTTCCTTTCAGTGAACCTAGGCTTGAGGCAGTAGACAGAGAAAGACCTGACGTGCCGGGTGAGTTTCCTCCCATACAGTCAATGTTTGATGACACCATTCTGAGGACTCATTAATGTTCTTCCTCAAATCCCTGGTAAAGTCATCTCTACTCTGAGAAGGTTTGTCTCACCAGCATCAGCACCAGAAGATAATCCACTGCATAGCCCTCTTCTGAGGAACATGATCCCCTCCAATCCAGCATCCCTCCCTCAGTCCTAACCACCAATCCCAGAGGAACCCTGGCAGCCCTTCTTGGGTGTGGTGAGAGACCACTGAAGCCAAAGCTACCCTAACTAATCTCTTCCAGGGTTGGAGTGAAATCAATAGGATTTCCCTGGGACAGAGAAGGTCATGAAGTCCAAGTCCATGTCTCAGGGTTATGGCTACAGAGGATGGAACCAACCTGTTCCTCACTATATCATTCCTCGATGTCATTAACAGGCTCTCTTTTAAGTGTTTTGTTTTAGAGACAGAATTTCCCTATGTAACCCAGGCTGGCCCAATCTTTCTGCCTCAGTCTTCTAAATACTAGGATTTCAGACTTGAGCTACCTGACCTACTGATGAGAGCTTTTTAGTGTGAATTAAACATAAGGAAATCATGAAACATTGAAATCCTACTGATTGACACTTTTTTCTTCTTTCATATTTATTTTTAACTTTTACCCTTTTTGTTGTTGTTGTTGTTTTCTTAGAGACAAGTTCTTACTATATAGTCTTAGCTAGCAATATGTAGTGGTTAGCCTCCAACATGTGGCAATCCTCCTTTCCACTCTATTGGTTGTCTGGTGAAAACATCCTTTAGGAAACACAAAGTCTGGGGATCTGAGGTTGATCAACCCTCACTGTAGTTCTAAAAGTGAAAGCCTCTGGGGCTGTGTTATAGCTGTGTTTTCTAAGGAGTTTGTTGATGTTTTAGTTGGGACTCCTTATAAAATATTCCCTCAGTGCTAATTTCCTCATGAATTGTATGCAACAGGTAGGAAAATAATCACAGAATCTGATTTTCTAGAGTACATATATTTGTCATAATAGCAGAGCTTGTTACATTTGAACTTAGTTTACAAGATTACTGCCATGAAGATCCATTTCATAGCAGTTATATGTTGCAAACTAAAGGTAATGACTAAATATAGCCACTTTTTCCCTGTAAATCTGACTTTGAGCAGTAGTTGGTGAGCACAGAGCTACTCTACATGTGCAAAGCTCATGTTATTGAAGATCCATTTTTCTCAGTGACTTGTGCACATTGCTGAGAAATCAGTGTTTAGTGAGAGCTGCTGGCTTGAGTCCCCATTCTCCTGCATGTGGGCCTCTCCATGAGGATGCTTGAGCTTCCTCGTGGTTATGTAACCATGTTGTGGGCCCAGAAACAGCATAGTTTCTTTCCTTGTGGTGTCTAGGCAGTTACAGAAACTCAAACAGTAAAAACTATAGGCCTCAACTGTAAATTGAAGAAGTATTGAGGAATATTAAGATGTTTATAATCAACCACAGTAAACATCAACCATCATTTTGGCCTTAAAAATCATCTGAGAGTTGGTTGTCTACCTTTTGGTGAAATGGTTAGTGCTGTGCCTGGATTCTTTTCTTTCATTACAAATCAGGAACTCTAATAAAATTGGCATTTCAGATAGACAAATAAAAATTGTGATGTATCCATGACAAATGTATTGTTACACTTTCAAATTATTTATCTATGACAAATGTATTATTACACTTTCAAATTGCTTAGCTATTCCCATACAAGAATACGCTATAGAACACTAAAGCTAAAAAGAATTCCAGAGATAATCCAGTTAAGCTTCTGTGCTTCAGAAATGAGAAAAGCAAAGCTAGCAACAGGAAATGATTTGCACAAGGTCAGGATCAAGACCATCATTCAAGTTTTCTCCAGGTTACACTATATTTGCCTTGAGTAGACTTATCCTTTAAAAAAAAAAATAGTCTGATCAGATAGCTCAGCAGGAAAAACGCTGGCTGCACTAGCTTACCAACCTGATTTCAATCTCTAAAAACCACAAAAAGCTGGATACAATGGCTCACACATGTAATCCCAGCACTCCTGCCTGAAATGCAAGGTAGAGACAAGAGAATCACACTGAAGCTCACAAGCCATCTAGTGTGGAACGTGAAGACAGATAATAACAAGAGAAGGCATGACTCAACAAGATGGAAGGAAAGAACTAACTTCCAAACATTGTCTCTTGACCTTTACACTCTGTGGCACACCCAGACCTACAAATACAACAATACAACATAAGGTAAAAATAATAATTTTTAGGGCATCTTTTATTTATCATCTTATAATTTCATACACACATATGTGAGGATACACACATACACACACACACACACACACACACACACACGATCTTGATCCTACATATCCCCAAGTGCCCCCATCCACTCCCATGAACATTTTCCAACACGTCTTCCTCCTCCATTTTTTATATACCCTACTGATTACAGTTAATGCTCGCTGCTAAAATGTTGGCTGATCCTGTTGGCTTAATCCTGTGCAGGTCTTATACAGAACATCACAGCTACAGCAAGTCCATTATCTCAATGGCCAAGTCTTGTCCACAACCCTGCGTTTCCCTGCACTCTTCCGCTGCATCCTGCTCTTTCTTTCTTCCTATCTCCTGTGATGTTCTCTGAGCCTTGGGGATGAGGCTGATACTGATGTTCCATTTAGGGCTGAGCACCCAACAGTCACTTAGTCTGTTATGAGTCAGTATTAACCATTACGCCCTCAAAATGAAGCTTCTCTGGCCAACACTGAGAGCAACATACTCTGTGAGTTTTAATATAAGCATTTAGAGGACAGTTTCACAGCATGTCCATTTTGGAAACAACAGGCCCACAGGAACATAGACTTTTTCCAGTGATGAGATGTTCATCAAGGTATAGTCCCAAGCATAAAATCCTTCCTAGGGATCAGGCCTCATATCTAATCAGAAAGTGTTTCATTACCCAAATATTCATCACGCTGCTTTTACAACAGTAGACTTGTGTCAGAGGAAGGTCAGAGTTATAGCACACCATGGGATCGTTGGTAGTTTTTCTCACTCAGCAGTCAGCCTTCATAGCGTCTTCTGACACTATCACAGGAAGACGGTTGATAGCTCTCTGCCCTGCATCAAAACAGGAATGTCTTCTGCAATAGCATCTTACCACCTATTAATAGTGCGCAACTCAGAGCAATAGCAAAAGTCTTGGATGCCTCTGAGATTTCCCTGGTCAGTGGTATATAGAGACTTATCTTCTTCCTGCACTGACATCTTATTTAATAATGCATGTTTTCTGACTTGGCCATATTTTATTGTGCTGTTTTCTTGATGTTTAGTTTCTTGAGTTCTTTACATATTCTAGATACTAATCCTCTGTCAAATATATAGAGAAAAAATTTTTCTACATTCTATAGGTTGTCTCTTCATATAATTGACAGTTACCTTTGCTGTGCAACAGCTTTTCAGTTTTATGATATCCCATTTGCCGATTATTGGTCCTTTTTTCCTGAGCAATCAGAGTCTTATTCATATATTCAGCCTGTGTCTGTCTATACCTGGGAGTGTGTTTCATATTTTTTTCTCTAATAGACCCATGGTTTCATGTCTTATGTTGAGGTCCTTCATCCATTTAGAGGTGAATTTTATGCAGGATGAGAAATAAGTATTTCATTCTTTTAACTGTAGAAACCAAGTTTTCCTAGCACCATTTGTTGAAGATGCTATCCTTTCTTTTATATTTATTTTGGCATCTTTGTCAAATATCAGGTGGGCTTCATGGCCTTGAGCCTGGATCCTCTACTCAATGTGTCTGAATTTGTGCCACAAAAGTTAGTTTTATTTCCGTAGGCTCTATATTGTAATTTGAAATCAGGTATGGTGACACATCCAGCAGTATTATTTTTGTTTTGGATTGCTTTGGCTGTATGGGGCAACAACTCTTAATCTCTGAGCCACCTCTCAGGCACATTTTAAAGAGTGTGTATGCGTGTGTGTGTGTGTGTGTGTGTGTGTGTACGTACGTGTGTGTACATGTGTGTACGGGTGTGTACGTGCATGTGTTTTAAATTGAGTATATATATGCATGTGTGCGTGTGTGTGTGTGTGTGTGTGTGTGTGTGTGTGTGCTCACAGAGTTGGATCCTCCTGAAGCCAGAGTTCGTCACAGGTATTTGTGACGTACCCAACATAAGTCCTGGGGATCCAACTTGGTTCTCCACAAGAGCAGCATATGTTCTTAACCCTGAGATGTTCCTCCACTAGAAGACTATTATTGGTTATTATAGAGCTGTTTAATATGGTTTAATTTGGATAGATCATATATATCTAGAAATTCATATATTTCTTTTAGATTTTCCAGTTATATGGAATATATGTTTTCAGAATAAGAGCTAATGATTTTATGAAATCCATTGGTGTCTATATTATATATTATATATATTAATATTCTCCTTTCATGTATAATTTTATTAATTTGGGTCTTCTGTCTTTTAGTTATTTTGATCGAGTTTGTCAATCTTATCTTTTCAAATAATCAATTTGTATTTCACTGATTCTAAAACAAATACCTTCCAAAAATCATTTTTAAACTTGTTTTTCCCTAAAATTATAATCATTTTTTACTTCACTATCCTGTACATTTTTCTTAAATAATTAAGGCCTCAGACTTGGTTTCCTCTATGAGGAAACCTGAGAGGGTTATCCATAACCACATGTTACAGAAACAAACACAACTCCAAGTGTCATGGGTGGCTTCCTGACTGGTGTGCAGATTCATCTCCATCTTCACTTTACTTGACATATTTAGCCATGACTCTCATAGACCACATATGTTTTGGCTCTCCTAGACCATGCATGTCTTCAAGCTCCCGGCATTTATCCTTGTGTTCTGTGACTACGCTTTCTTGATCTTTTGTACTTGGACTTGCTTTATGTTCTTTTCCATGTTTACTGAAATCCTACTTTATATTTCAAAAGACATGGTGACTGAAACAAATGCATAAAAACA